CGTGCCCCGGGTTGCAGATTAAGTGACCGAATCGTTGAGTAGGGGAGACCGACTCGACGATTCTGGTCTGGGTTTGGAAACCCTGATTTCAGGACTTGGTGCCCTATTTAAGCAATATTTTAGGCCTCCACCCCAGCCTCCATCACTCCCCTCACCTAATCTCGAAACCCTAATCGACCTTGTGGATTATTGAGCTAGTTTCTTGCCTTTGTGAGTGATTTGAAGCTTGGAGAAGGAAGGAGATTCTTAGTGGTGCAAGAAGGAGTTATAGATCCAGAGTTGGTGTGGCATTTCAGATCGTTTGAAGGTATAAAGCTTATACCTTGGCTGTTAATCATCTAGATTCCCTTTCTAGCTTGTAGTTTTCCCACATTTGGGCCATTACCAAGGTTAATCCAAGTATTAATCCTTGAGGATGTTTAGGCTTCAGATCTGGGCACTCTTGAGCTTTAGAAGCTCAAAGTTGCTAGCTTTATCCAACTATGGCTCCATTTCATGTCCTAAACCTTCATTTTAGCTTGGATTAAGAGTTTTAGCTCCATAGCACCTTGCATGCACGTAAAGTTAGCAACTTTACGTGTAATGCTAGCCTTAAGAGTCCAGATCTACGAGTTGGAAGCAATGAAATGGAATGTAATCGACAGAATTGAGATGTCACAAAGCGGACTCGGCGAGTCGGGTCACAAACCCAAATCCCCTCTGGTTATGAGTTAGATCAGTGAGATGAGTTGGTGAAGGACTCGGTCAGTCTGGGTCCATATTGGGCATGGAGATCATAGTACTCGACGAGTTCGAGGAGGAACTCGGAGAGTCCAAGGCAATCTCCTTAGTTATGAAGGTGGACTCGATGAGTTGTTCATACAACTCGGCGAGTTGGTTAAGGATGGTCCCGAATTGTATGGTTGAAGGAGAACCCGTCGAGTTCTTGCTAGACTCGACGAGTTAAGTTGGGGGTTGTAATGAATCGGTGGAGTATGGACTCGACGAGTTGGTAGAACAACTCGGCGAGTCAAGTCAATTGGAAGTTGACTTTGACCAAGTTTGAGCAGGTTGACTTTTGGATTATTGTGGTCTAAATGTTGTTTTGGGTAGTGATAGTTCGGGAATCCGAAGGGTGAGCGGTTCGGAAGTTGCTGGCTAGCAGTCAGAAATGTTCAACTAGTTTTCATCAGTGCGAGGTGAGTCTCCTCACTGTGTGCATGGGTCGACGGCCACAATGCCGACGCATTATGTTCATGTTCATGTTTATGCTTATGTATAGAAGGAAGACCCGGGGGTTAACCCTAGGCACTTATTGATATATGTTTCGGGTTATGACCTGATGTCGGGCGAGGACCGAGGAATGTTAGGATGCTAGAGGTCTTTGTGATTCTTGCATGTGAGGGTATGATAGGATCCGGACCGAGGGTCCGATATCGGGGTAAGCCCGAAGTACGTTAGATAATAGTATGTTTCTGGGCCGGGGGTCCGATGCGGGGGTATTCCCGATGAAGATTCTTATGTAGTACGTTAGATTATACTTGTTGTCTTTGTGATACTTGTATGTGCCTAGTAAGGAGGTGAGTGTGGACGAGGTCCTGTATCTCATCACGAGCTGTGTCACAACTAGGAAATTGATGCCTTGTAAACATTGAACAATGATAACAAATGTGAACCAACAATGTGAAAACATGTAAGATGCTTATTCAATAACAACATAATTTCAATCAAACACTTCATAAAAGCACTACAAATAGTCAACAAATAATTGGAAACCCTAGAAATCCTTGTTTAAGTCCATTTTGGACTAGGATTTCCTTATTGGGCCCAATGGACCAATAAGCTTCCAATTGGACTATCTTGGGCTTAGAACTCTTGAATGGGCTCTAATTGGATCCACTATCATTTATTTCAATATTTTGGGCCATATTGGGCCTAGAATGAAACAAAATATTTAACTGGACCTTATTGGGCCATAACTAACCTAATTTAGCCATAATAGGTCATAAAAATCACATTTATACTTATTTGGACCAAAAATAACTCAACATAACCATGAAATTGGGCTTAAGCATTTAAGGCCCAAAAATTCTCTCTTCCTTCTCCATTCTCGACCCAAGCCCAACTAAGGAAGAAGAGTTGACTTTTTTTCATTGCCACCTCATTTTTGTTTAATGGTTCTCTATGCAAATCCCATACACCCAAGTAAACATCTCATCAATCCCCTCTCTTCCTCTCCCTCTATTTTCTTCGGCCGAGAGCAAGAGAAACACACATACACACACTCACAAAAAAATTCCCTCTAAACCACTCAAGAATCATCCACTCTCCTTATCCAAAATCTCGAAAATTTGGCTTGAAGTCTAAGGATTTTCATCAAGTAAATCATCATTCAAGGTAAGTTGATGTTAAATCTATGATCTAACTCACTTCATTTCATCAAAAATGCTTTTCATTATCAAAAGGGGACAAAACAGTTGTAATATTTCAATGCATGGTGATGTATATGTTATGATTCATGTATATTCATTGTGATGGTATTCAATTTAGGTCACAAGAGCCCTCAGACATTTCCGCCGTCTGGTTCGGGGATGTGACAAGCTGAGTATGAATGGGGTTCCATATCTCGATATTAGTAAAGCAGGGGCAAGGCCCGTGATAGGAAGGATGTGAGTGTGGTTGAGGGCCCCTATCTCACTACTAGTAGTAGTGTGGATGGGGTTCCACTACTTTACCAAGGGTGGGGCCCAAGTTAGGTGAGGCCTTAGAGCAGTGTATGGTTAGGGAATGTTTATGTATGTTTCAGTATGTTATTTAATCGTATGTATGTGTATGGCGGGCGAGGCCCAGAGACATGCGGGGCCTAAAGGAAACAAATCTGTATACCGAGCGGGGCTCTACGCCAGGTGGGACCTGATGCCAGGCGGGGCCTGATGACGGACGGGGTCCGATGGCGGGCGAGGCCCAATGCCACGGGCGGGGGCCTCGGTATGTGGTTATGTGCTCATAATTATGCATGACATGTATGTATCAGTAGATATGTTTGGTATGCGGTAGTTTGGGGAACTCACTAAGCTTCGTGCTTATGGCTTTCTGTTTTGGTTTCAGGTACTCCCGATAGCGGAGGGAGGAGCTCGGGATGATCGCATGACACACACCAAGAAGTTTAGCTTGGGATGTTTACTCTGATAAAGTGAACAAGTGTTTGTGAAAATACTCTGATTTTTCATATAACCCCTTTTAGTATGATTGAATGACTTAATGCTATGGATTAGTAATGTTTTTAAAAGAAATTTTTGGTCATGATTTTTGGGATGTTACAATACAAACTCTTGTGATTTCATCCATCTTTGCCTACTCACCTTTAATCCCATCGTCAGGTGAGGTTGAAGGTCTATTTATTTAGCAAAAACTTCAAATAGTTCGAAGACATTTTCGAGTTTAGTTTGGAAGAAAATGTCTTTTTGTTGTCAAACATTTTAATTCCACAATATTTATAGTAAAAATGTTGTCACCTACCTCACATGATCAATAACATAATGTAACATCTCATTTTTCAAAATAAAATTTCATTTTTAAATAAATTTTCATTTTTAAATTAAGATAAATACTTATTTTCATAAAGTTGTACTCAAGATAAAACCATTTGTTCAATAAAACTACTATTGTGTGTGTAGAATCATGTCTACGCCTTCCCACAAAACTCACTTGGATTCCATTGCTGACTCTGACTACCCGAAGCCCCAAAGAATTAGCTACACAAACTACCTAAACCAAACACATGTTAAACCTTAGTTTATTGCTCGAAACCTCCAAATTTGACTCAAAAAACAAATTGATCAAAAAGTCAACGCTCAACAACCTTCAGACCCGTGACCCTTGACTAGTTACGTCGAAAACCACAAATTGACAAAGTAGTCGGGAATTCTCCACAATTGCGCCGTGACCCACAATAGGCCGCACTATGTTATTCGGTTTAACAACCTTCCATTTCAAGGACTTAATCGAATTTGTAATTTGAAACAGACAATGGTCTAAATGGATAAAGTTGTACTCCCAAAATTAATATGTCACATTATGTTTATCTCAAACCGAATTTGTAATTTGAACATCTAAGGGATAAAAAAAACTCGATTTTTTTCTAAACTTATGAATTTTATAAATTTATCTATTTTTCTTATAAAACATTGCATTTTGTTTAAATTCAAATCGATTTAAATCCTTCTAAATACATCAAGCCAAACTCACATCTACCATATTTGTAAGTTAGTAGGAGAATTCGACCTTATACACGCAATTGTTTTTTATTTCATACCATAGGGCACATTTGTACAAAACACACAATTGTTTCCTATTCATAAATTTGCGGTTAATTTGCAACTAAAATTATTTCAAAATTTTGTTAATGATACATATTTTTCTTCAAAACTAAAACTTTGAATAAAAATAAAGAAAACACTCGATTCTTAAAAAAACAAAAAAACAAAAAACTTAATAATTACTAAAATATTTGATTTCTTCAGTCAAAGTGTCGCCTCTATAATCTCCTACATTTTAGTTTTTAACCAGTAAAATACTCACAGTAGCAGATTCAAGACTGTAACTTCCTCCTCCTGATCCCCCTCTCTCTCCAATTGACTTTTATATATCACATTATTCACACAATTTACAGGTTTCAATTAACAATTAACCCTCTCTCTTCACACCCACCCAAAGCCTCCTTTTAATTCCCATTCAAAGATTTGGTTTAAACCCATCTCCCAAATTAAGTTTCTGTAGTTGCTATGGGATTTTAATCTACCCATTAATTTGTTTTTACGCATTATATATGATGAAGTTTTGGAGGAGATACAGGTTGGATTGTGTTTTATGCGTATATATTTGAGTGAGTTGAGAGTTGCTTTGATTTAAAGATAATCGGCGCCCTTTAAAGGCCATCCTTGCTGTCATTTTCTGTTTTTTTATGAATGTGTCGTTTTTGCGGAGAATTGAGGGCATAGTTTTTTTTTTTTTTTTTTTATAATAAAAATATATATAAACAATAGATTTTGATTAAAAATTTGCAAAAACAACAAGAAGAGCAAGATAGATATAGATATTGAGAGAGAGAGAGAGAGAGAGAGAGAGAGAGAGAGAGAGAAGAATACTTGGTTTTTTTTGGAGAGAGAGAATGGTGTAGTCCAGTCAATCAATCATGGAGGAGTTTTTGAGGCCATGAAAAGGTTTTTCTGAAGCTGTTCTTGTTCAGCAACCTGTTCGATTTGGTGGGTATTTCGGATCTTTGTTTCTTCACTATGTTTTTTTCGTGATTCTTGAAGCTTTTCTTCTTCACTACCTATCGAAAGTCGAAATTTTTTTACTTGTTTATATGACATGGATTATTTACAAATTAAAAGATTGTTTCGGGTGTCGAAACATGTGAATTTTTTGATGTGGGTTACCCCAAATTTTTCTGTAAAGAGTTCTTAAAAGCTTAGAATCTGTGTTTCTATGGCTGTCTTTCTGAATATAAAATCTCTTCTTCTTCTTCTTAATTGAACCAAAACCTATTAGTTTTTGCATGCTTTGTGTTCATCTTGTAATGTTTCTTGTTTGTTCTTAAATATATTAAGATTTAATCTTGATTTTTTACTCATATTATAGTTGTGTTCTTCCTTTTCTTGTTAAAGATGTGAAATTTATGCTATATGCTGCCTGTGAATCCTCACACCAACTGTTTGTGAAAAAGTACCAAAGAGAACACATTTATTTTGTGGATATCATAAATTAGTTGGCAACTGGTTTTCCTTTTTCACCTTTACCCTTCAAATTCCTACATTTATGCCTTTTTTGATTTACTTTAAAATGGGGTTTTGGAAATAGATATGTTTTTACTAGTTAAGGTAGGGAACATATTTGGTCTACCATTCATTTATAGTATTCTTTTAATCATGCTTTTTCATGATGGAATCTTGTTCATGCCATTTTTACTTAAAATGTTATCATTATGTTGTGTTATCATTCTCTTCATGGAATCAAATCCCATTAAGGGTATGTTTTGAAACTCCATTTCCATGGTTCGATAATTAGAGCGGAAATAAGTTCAAAATTGAACCAAAAAATTCATTTAATTCCCATGTTCATAAACAGTGCCTTCTTTTTCTTTACATGTAGCTCTACAGCAACTCCATTGTGTTCATCTATTATCATCAATATCAACTTGCATCCCCTCTTTTATTCATCTTTTTTGAATTATTTTTCCTTTTGTTAATTAGCATTGACATTTGAATAGATTTCTTTTTATAAAGTATACTAACATTTGTTGTTATGTCTTTAGGCTATATAATCTAAGATGGACTTCTCAGAATCTACAAAAATTGTATACGATAGGATCCAAAAAATCGACCCCGAAAACGTCTCCAAGATTGTGGGGTATCTCCTTCTTCAAGATCATGGTGAAAGAGAAATGATAAGATTAGCATATTGCCCCGATAATTTAATACACTCTTTGATCAATAAAGCAAAAACCCACCTCAAATTACCTTCCAATATCCCCGAAATGCCCCTACACTTCACACCATTTACACCTTCAACTCGTCATTCACCATTGACTATCCAAATCCCAAGTCAACCAGTTGACTATGTTCCCATGGTTTATCCCGCTTCATTTCCCGAAGATTATCGTCTTCACAACCACCTTCGTTTCCTTTCATTGGAAGATCAAATTGACTCGGTCAACACCCCAGATTTTTCACCTAACAATTTCTACAAGTCATCAGAACCTTCATTAGGTCCTAGAGCCAATCGGAGGTCGCCAAGTCTACCCGAATTCCCATTCAAAGTTTGCCATTACTTCATTAAAGGATTCTGTAGACATGGAAACAATTGTCGATACTTGCATCCTTCATCCGAAAGTTTCTCCTATATCGAGGACGAAAACGTCTTTTCACCCGGGTCTCTTGAGAAACTAGAGTTAGAACTCACCGAGCTTTTGAAATCAAGAAGAGGGTTTCCTCTCTCCATAGCCTCTTTACCAATGCTTTATTATGAAAAATTCGGTAAGTCATTACAAGCTGAGGGGTATTTGACCGAAAGTCAACGACATGGGAAAGCCGGTTATAGTTTGACTAAACTTCTTGCAAGGCTTAAAAGCATTTGTCTCATTGATAGGCCACATGGGCAACACGCTGTCATTTTGGCTGATGACCTGGCAAAATGTATGGATCATAATGGAGATAGAGATAGGAATGAACATGGTGGTATTGTAGCAGGATCTAGACAAATATACTTGACATTTCCAGCCGAGAGTACCTTTTCGGAGCGTGACGTTTTCAACTATTTCAAGTAAAAATACAAACTTTATGTCTTGATTTTTTCGCGTTACATATAACTATATGTAATTAATGGAAATGATGTTTACTTTTTTTTGAAAATTTATGATAGCAAATTTGGGCCGGTTCATGACGTGAGAATTCCATGTCAGCAAAAGAGAATGTTTGGATTTGTGACTTTTGTATTTGCGGATACGGTTCGCCATATTTTGAACAAGGGAAATCCTCATTTTGTAAGTGGTGCTCGTGTTTTGGTCAAACCCTATCGTGAGAAATCTAAGGCGGATGATAGGTAAGAAAAAAAATACAAAAAGCTAGTGATTTTGCAATGTAGTTTTAAAGATTATGTTTTTACGATTGTTTGAGTCTTTTTCTCACTTTGAAATTTAAATTTGATCAGGAAACATGGAGAGGCATTTCAGCACTCGATATACCAAGGTGGCCACGGTCTTGATAGTGAAATTGGACTGCAGTCAAGTAATTACAACTATATGAAATTCTTGACGTATTTTGATGGGTTTGGGTTGAAATCCATCATCCGACTATATGTTGTGTCAACATTTTGTTATTTCAGACTTTTTTTAATGGTGCATTGAATGCACCATTAAAAAAGGTTTTTATATGTATGAAAGAATCTGAAATAACAAAATGTTGACTCAACAAATAGTCCCTAATTTAGGGACTATTAGTTTGTTGTGTCCATCAAGGCTGTGTATTTGGTACAGATATATCAAATACGCTTAAAAGAAAATCTCCAATAAAGTCCCAATATTTAGGGTCAAGTTACGGTTTAATCCCAACTTTTATTTTTTAAACTGAAAAGTCTCGATATTTTATATTTTTCCCAAATTAATGAAACAGTCCTTATTTTTCTTTTCTACATAAAATGACATATTATCGTATAAAATTAGATATAATCAGGACTTTATAGTTCAAAAAATAAATGCTGAGATCAAACTGTAACTCGATCCAAAATATTGGAACTTTATCGGAGATTTCCCAATGTTTAAAGTATAAGCAAATTGTGGCACAACAAATAGTTGGGTGGCGGATTTTAACATGAACATTATTTTCTATAAAACGGTCACTATTACATAGTATATAACATTTTTTATTTTTATTTTTTAATTTCATCACAGTGCCAAGAATTTGTGATAATTCAAGGCTAATCAAGAAGCAAATCATCGAAGAACAACAAGAACAAGCACTTGAATTTGAGAGAAGGCATTTCTCAGAGATGCAATTATCTGCGGATCTCAATAACCAATTTCCATCTTTTAGAACCACACTCGAAGAGTTGAGGCTACCAGAAGGTATTTGCAAATTTCCAACTTTTTTTTCATTAATTTTTTTTTTACATCTTTATTCAAGATTTTTATTTCCCTTTTTTTCTTATTTGTTCATAGGCAATTCCCATGCACAACAAATGAACTTTCGTTCAACCGAGCGTTTTAATTATCTTTTAGATTATCTCAACAACGGTCCTTCTAATGATGAAAGAATTAGGCAGATAAACACCAAGTACAACGAGGAGAGGTATGTTTAACTACAAGAGTGTTTTAATTTTTTTAATTTTTTTGTATTATGGCGCATATTTTTATTTTGTTTTTTGGTTAAAATTTGCAGTAGTCAAGGGCTAAATCTTCCAGACAGCCCGTTTGCAGCTGCATTAGGGGGTGAAATATCGACAGTTATATAGCTTCTTCAAAGATAACAAACAAGAGCAGGTTTATAGAGTTAGAGATGACAGAAAATCAACGGCCGTTTGGATAATGGATATACGAAGACAACAAAAGTTTATATAGAGAATGTTTTTAGGGCGACAAAAAGGTTGCAAATTATATAGAAAGAAAAGAATGTAAGTAGGATGGAAAAAAGTGAGGAAGAGAGTGGCTTAAGAATTAAGATAGAAAGTAAAAGTTTAGGTGGTCTAAAGTAAAAAGGCAGAAAAGAATTCTGCGTCTTTGAGATATTATATTACTATATAATATAATTTGCAATAATAAAAGCTTAGTTTATACGAAGTTTGTTTCTTATATTCCATGGTTGGTAGAAGTTGCAAACGAGTCGTCACAAGCTTGATTTGATGATTTTAGGCTTGGTTGGAAAATTCTTAACAACTCTGTTCTGGTCCAAAATAAATAATAAGAAAAATAGAAATTTAACATATATAAGATTATACGTCTAAACCTCTAAAATTTAGAAAAATTGGAGACAAAATTGCAAAAATGGTCCCTGTGGTTGGTAAAATTCTGCAGTTTTAATCAAAAAAAAGTTTGGTGGTGCATCAATGGTCCAATTTTGGATATTTTTAGTGTTTTTGGTCCCTATACACTTAAAATGACTATTATGCCCTTTAGATTTGTATTTTTTTTTTTTTTAATGTTTTTAAATAATTAAAGATACAAAAAGTCTCTCTCTCTCTCTCTCTCTCTCTCTCTCTCTCTCTCTCTCTCTCTCTCTCTCTCTCTCTCTCTCTCTCAAGAATACCCACCAGATGCCACCCTCTCAAGAACTCCCAACATATCCCACCATCGTTCACCACCAAGATCCATCTGCTACCAACGACGTTCACCACCACCATTTGTCTGCCATCATCGCCATTTACCACCACCATCCGCCTGCCACCGTCGTTGTTCTCCACCATTCGCTTAAGAACACACCCAAAATCTTTCTTTATCTCTCTCCTGCCACTATCTCCATTCCCCAACACCATTCGCCGCCAACCACCTCCATCTCCCCCACCCCCACCTCTCCTTCCTTAACCTGATAAGCTTTCACCACCAACCACCAAACCACCCCCAGATCTTGCCTGAAAAATCAAACCAAAAGCTTGGTCAAGCTCTGCTAACTTTTCACCATCCACAAAGACTCGAAAAATCGGAAAATCGATGGATTTAAAGAAGAAGGTGAGTGTTGAATGTGGCTTGATGTTGATTTTCTTATCGAATAGTCAATGTGGAAGAAGGTGGATTGAAGGGAACATATGAGGTCGATGGTGGCGGCGCATCCAACAGCCTCCCAAATTAGCCAACAATTACCACCATAAACACTCCTCCACCCCTTTCTTGATCACACGAAAATAACCACCAATCACCTCCAAAATTAGCCACCGATCACCACCATAAATTGACTTGACGTCTCTATTTAGAACAAAGAAAAAGAAATGGGAGGTAGGTGTCGATCAATTGTGAAAAACTAGAGACGCGGGGTGAACCAAGGTGATATAGGGCAAGAAAAAACCCAACCTCTCCGATCACCTTCTTTGTCTTCAAATTTTGAGATAATTTCCAAACCCCGACCCTTCATGTTCGTCTCCTTCTTCTTTAGAATAAAAAACTGTGGAGATTTGGGGTTTTTGTTACAGGTGTTCAGATGTAACGGTGGGACGATGGTCGTTGAAGAAACAGATGTGAAAGGTGGTTATTGGTGGTGCGAAGGAGAAGCATGGGACGATGAAGCCTGCAATATTGATTCGGTAGAGAACACCTTCAAGAACGAGTTGGGTTTCTTTTTGATCTCGAGGATCAGAGAGAGAGAGAGAGAGAGAGAGAGAGAGAGAGAGAGAGAGAGAGAGAGAGAGAGAGAGAGAGTGGTGGGTTTATTTTATTTTTGTTTTTCATTTTATTATAAGAATAAGAAAATAAATAAAAGAAATTAAAATATAATTATTTAAGGGGCACATTAGTCATTTTAGGTGGGATGTGGACCAAAAACATAAGAAAATACAACCATAGGGACCAAAACCACACAATGTATCTAAAATTGGACCAGTGGTGCACCAATATTTCGTTTTGGACCAAAAGCACATAAATTTGCCAACCACAAGGACCATTTTTGCAATCTTGTCAAAATTAGAGTTGTTAACTAGATAGCTAGGGTTTGTTGAAACTAGGATGTTTTTTTTTCTACAACATTTTGTTGATTTTTTTTTCTAAAACATTTTGTTGATTTTTTTTCTATGACATATATTTTGTTTTTTTTCGAAGATTGGAGATTTAAAAAAAATATGTGCCCTCTTTTTTTAGAAGATATGTTACAACTCTTCCACAACTTAAATGTGTATTTGAGTTGTGCTTGAATGACCTTTGATACGTTCAATAGTATTTTATATAAACGAATGAATATCCGTGCATTGTGCAAAATGCAATTATATAGTTAAAATTTTTGTATACACATTTTGAAAATAATAAGACATTAACAATAAAATAATAACTTTTTCACTATATTGATATATAAATTTGTAATTATTTTGAACAAATATAATAAAATATACATATATTATAATCATATCATTCAATAGTATATAGCTATGATTTGCGTTTAAATAAAACTAAAAATTACTGATAAAGCAATAACTTTTACCCTAAGTTGGATATATAAATTTGTTATTATTTTGAACAATTTATAAAATATATACATATATTATAATCATATAATTCAATAGCATCATTTTGCATTTGCATTTAAATAAAAGGATTCATTGTTTTTTTATTTAGAATTACAATTTAACTTATGATTGATTACATTAGAAATTATTTATACATTGATTTTTTTTGTTTTTTTAATGTTGATCATTATGATTAATTGATATATAACCCATTATTTGTAAGCTAACGTGATATAATTTTTTACGTTACTTAATTAAAAAAACTACTTATTTGGGCAAAAAATGAATTATAATAAAAAACTAGTTTTTTTATTTTTTTATTTTTGTTTTTTTTATCTTTATTTATTTATTTCATTTGACTCGTTTTACAATTATAATAATCAAAATTTTTAACTATTTGTATTTGCATATATATTTTTAAGTTTATTTTATATTTTGATTTATCTTTTGGATTTTTGCCCTCAATCTCTTTGAGGTCGAGGGTTCTCGTCATAGACATATGTGTTAGTTTAGGAGTAGATTATATATTTAACATAATATTTAAATTAACAACTAAGTGTTTTATAATAATCATTTCAAAGTCTAGCAATAATTAGATAATATTTTTATTTGATAACATATTTTAAATTAATAGAGTAATTATATTAAGTTAGAAATTAAAAGGTCATGAAGATATCAACTTCATGCAATTATAACAAATGTTTCATTTATATCTACAAAATAGGATGAAGTATGATTTAATATTTTATTTGACAAGATTCTTAAATATAGAGAATTTATCAACTTCATGCAATTATAACAAATGTTTCATTTATATCTACAAAATAGGATGAAGTATGATTTAATATTTTATTTGACAAGATTCTTAAATATAGAGAATTTCATATATATATATATATATATATATATATATATATATATATATATATATATATATATATATATATATATATATATATATATATATATAGAGGTTATAATATGAAAGGATGACTATTATGCGGACGGGTGGACAGTGTTATTCTATGAGAATTACTAAGAGAATAAGTTGTTTAGTAATGTGAATATGTTCAAACTCACTCAACTATTGTCATTTTCATGCATTCTCACTAATTTTTTTTTTTTTTTGTTCTCACGGATCGTTTTTAACTTATTTTCATTCTTATAGAATACGACTCAATAAACATTCTGATATGCCATTCTGACAAAATGAGAATAATAATAATAAAAGTTTATAATAACCTTATAGACGATTTAATTAGTGAAATGTGTGATAATGACAATATTTATGTAAGATTGAATGCATTCACATTATCAAACAACATATTTTCTTTGTCATTCTCATAGAATAACATTGTCCATACATCCACACAATAGATGTTAATCCGCATTTAGACCTAACTCTCTCTCTCTCTCTCTCTCTCTATATATATATATATATATATATATATATATATATATATATATATATATATATATATATATATATATACTAGTTGTGACACCCATGTATTACATGGGTTAATTTAAAAAAAGTTTAAATATAAATGTCTAAATTTTTAAGAACTTTGAATTTATAAGAAAATAAGAAAAATAATGAATTATTAAAATTGAGATGTTTTTTATCTTTTAAATTTAAACAAATAATTTAAATAAATACACAAAAGAAACTAATGAGCTTTAAGTTGAAATTTTGAATTTAAAAGGTAAGCCTATTAATAAAAATGATATTCATTTATTAGTATATTTATTGTAATTATTATATTAACATATTATGTGAAATTTAATAAAATAAGAAAATACATAAAATGACATGTGGGGAAAAAAAGTTAATTCAAAATAACCACAAACTAACATTTGACAAATTGAATGAGAATGTGATATGTAACAAAAAAATCTTCATTTATTAGTATATATATATATATATATATATATATATATATATATATATATATATATATATATATATATATATATATATATATATATATATATATATATATATATATATAAACAGGATTGGGTGAGGACTCTTTTTAAAGTGAGGATCTGTGAGGACACTTTAAAAATATTGAAAAAAAATCTAAAAAGAATACAAATCATAAAATCGAGCATACTGTTAGGTTGCAAAATCATGCTTGGATGTGGCTTACTCTCTTGTATCTGTAAATGGGTTGAGTCTTTCCTATAATTAGGAAGTGAGTGACTCCCATTATGTAAGGAACCAATTGGAGTGTTAGACTAGGGAAGGAATTTGTACAAAAAACCACTTTGTATTTTCTTTCTAGATCAAATATGAGTTTGTATGATAATTCACTAGATCTTTTCTTATTTCGCACATGTCATCATAATCAACATCACTACAATTGGTATCAGAGGGGGTGTTCTTGATTGGATCAAGAATTGATCCTTGACGGCTTTCTTGATTTGGTGATTCTTCTTTTTGATCTTTGATCTTCGTGTTTTAGAGAGTTTGGATTCTAGAAATAGAACTCATATTTGATTCTATTCATAATTCGATTTTCTTCACTAGAATTCAAGTGATCTTTACTTTCTCTCTCTAGAAAACTCATTCAAAATCACTTTCTCTCTCTAGAAAATTTCAATTCTTGTGATCATGGTGGATTTTCCGTA